GGTGGTATAAACATTTAATTAATAAATAAAACTAAATAAATAAATATGTCCTTAAATAATGTTACTTATAATAAAAACATTCCTTCAAAAATATTAATTTTCTTTTGTTGTTAAGTAATATCTCTTAAATATGAAAAACAATGTTAATTCACTGCCAAGGAAGAAAAATGTTGTTATCTGAGGTTCAGGCAAACTTTTCAGCACAATATAATATTTCTTTTTCTCCAGATGCAAATGCAAATCACTTTAATCAACAATAAAACATTTATTATTATTTAACTACTATAGCAAATATCTCCTCTATATTGAGCCTTTAAAAATAATGTGGTCGGAAAGATTGGTTTCCTAAAATATAACTTAAGCATGATTTGAATTAATGAACAGCTCAAATGAATAATTAGCATACAGTATTCATAACACTTAGACATATATAATTTTTTTCATTTGTTAAGCACATTTTAAAGTAAATTACCATATTTTTAGAATATGACACACCTTTTTCCCTCAAAAAAAGAGCCTGAAAATCTGGGTGTGTCTTATACACTGAATACAGCATTTTTTGCCTCCCAAACCCCCGCCCCTTCACCAAAATGGCTGTGCATAGCTTTTAGGAGGCTTTCAGAAAGCTCCTGGGGGCCGAGGAGGGCAGAAATGAGCAAAAAAAGGGCAATTTTGTGCTCAATTTTGCCCCCCCAAGCCCCTAGGAGCACTCTATCAGTCTCCAAAGGCTATTCATGCTCCCCCTTTTTTACAAAAAAACGGGCCCACTTTTGCGAAAAACGGGCTGTTTTGGGGAGTTTTGCGGAGTGAAAAAACTTTTTTTAAAATTTGCCTCTTCAAAACCTTGGTACATCTTATAGTCCAAAAATATGGTATGTAGAAAATTAACTAAATTAATAAAAGATCATTCCATCCAAAATTGGATGGTTTCTCTGTATACAAATTAATCTTTCGGTCTAATCTACATTATGGACTAGATTTAAACTCTTAAGAACTAAAAACGCACATACCACAAATGCACCCTAAAAAAATTACAAATATTTTGTATTTGCAGCTTAAAAAACCACCTCACATGTTAAATGTAATTTTGGAAATTTGATTAATTTCTCTTCATCATATAAGTAAACTAAAATTTAGAACTACCATGAATATATATTTTTTCAGGCATGGGTGTATGTGTGTCTATATGTATGCCTGTATACCCACATATACAAGCATAAACACAGAGAAACATTGAGAAGCAACCATTGAAACAGTAGAGCTGATGAGACAAAAGGTTTAACTGATCAGCAATACAGAATATTTATAAAATAAGTAAAATAAAAATAATACTGTTTTTCACACATCTTCTTTGACCAACATTAAGTGAATATGGGTCAGCTAATGATATCACATTCAGACTTATTATTGGGTAATGCAAGCATTATTCTGGCAGACTATATTGAGATGTCAAATATATTACTATCTTTAAAAAAAGCAGAAATGGGAGTAAAAAATTGAAGCCGCAGTGGTGATTTAAATACAAGAAGACAGTCAGAAATTTGGAATTCAAAGAGTAGCTTAAGGCAAAAAGATGTTATGATGTCACCCACAAAAATAAAACATTTTACAGAAGTGATAAAATAAATGAACATGGTGGAGGATACATCCACTATATTCATCTTTAACCATTTACAGTATGCTTAAAATGGGAAATATTCACAGTGGGTTTTTTTTTAAATCAAAAATGCAGTATTAAACAATATTTTTTAAAAAAATAGGGTCATGCAGTATGAGAAAAAAAATCATACTAGCAATGCTCTGTAAATGACAATTTAAGTAAACTTACACATATGACTCATGGACACGTTCATAAACAATGTTCCACTCCTATATTTTTCAGGAACTTCTGTATCCTTTCAATTATTATTTTTTTAATTACCAATTTATTTTTAATTAAAAGATGGGTGAAAAAACTAATTTCATGCTTTTTTTCCCTATGTAACACAAAAAAATAATTTATAATCTCAAGCAAGCTCATAACAAAAGAAAGACATAAAGTTAATATAAGCACAAGTTGGTATACCACAACTGGTACTTTAAAAATAGAGAAAAATATCCACAGACAAAAAGAAAAAATATGGCTTATCAAAATCCTGAGCAGGAATAAAATATTAAGTATTAGTTAAGAAATTTTAATCCTGAGAAGGATATCTGGCCAAGAGAAAATACTTTACAATGTAAATCTGTACATCAGTGGCATAAATATCTTTTAAAACTTACATGTGGTTTCAGGCTCTATCTGGATTGTCATTTTATAATTATATACGAACCATTAAGAAATTACAAAGAAGAGCATTATTTTCACTAATAATGATAGTTATCACCTTCAGTGCATATAATTTTATATACTTTTTTTAAAGGACTAACATTTAGGAAAAGGTTTTAGAAGCTAATTCAAAATTTTATGGTTCCAAAGTAATATTAACCCATACCAAGTGAATGTGGAATTGTAGAGCCCTTTCCTAAAGACTGATATCCCATGAATCAGTAGGATAGAAATAGTTTCTTTTGTCTTAATTTATACACTGCATCTTTTGCATATGTAAGACAGACATGATAGAAATAGAAAAATAAGGAAACTATTCTGACAGGAAAATCAACATTTACTGATTGATTCACACTTCTAATCTATTGTGCCACAATATTAAATATTATAACAATATTTAAATGACCTAAAAAATTAACAAAGATTTAAAATCTCCCAGGAAACAGACAAGCATAGCCAAATGGATTTCAACATTTACCATTCACCAATATCATTTTACTTTTTTTGAGTTAACTATTTATGATACTCTGCAATATTTGTTAATAACTTGTTTTTCATTTCCTCCTTGTATTTATGAATAAATATCTATAAATCCAGGTTTGCAGTTCTAAGCATATAGTAAAACTAGTGTTCTACGTTAAAATTGTACAAAGAAAAATAGTTAACTTTTCCAACAGCTTTTATTTAAAAAAGAGTAATTGTATTGATAAAATAAATATAATAAACACAATTGAATTATCTGATTCAACATACATCACACTCAATTATATTTAAAATAAGTATATGATAACAGAAACCAGACTGTGCTATTTGGTACAAATACTGCATAATACCCACCAGTGAGTGGTGGTTCCAGTGATGGTTTAATTTAACACCTCCGAATTCCTGCCAGGTTCTAAGATTACTGGAATGAATTCCACTTTTTTTCTTTACCTTTCAGAAATCTGCCTGCTTTAAGTACAAGCTTTTAGGAAAAATAATGAAGGCTTTCAAATAACAATGCTACTGTACTGGAATAGGGTCATGGCCAGTATTCCATCAGTTTCATGCCAATATTTGCACAGTGTGTAAAAAAAATGCAAATGATTTATTTAGGATGTAACATCACAGTGATACAGAAGTCACAAGTGTGCATTTTAAAAGTCTTGTAGCTTCTGATGTTACATTACCAACTCAATGATAAATACATCTATTTCATTTCTAAGTGTGAACATTTCATAGGATGAAAAGTCTGGCAGATAAAGATCCTCACCATCATTTGAACACTCGAACTGGACTTCCTTTTCTGATATGACCAGTCAGAGAGAAAGGAAAAGAAGAAAATATGACTGGTTGGATTTAAAGAATCAATGCATGGAGAACAACATGTCTGTTGTAGCCTGGCTGCCTGTTTTAAAAATGCCCAATTTGCAGAAATGGGAGAAATATTCTGCATATGAATAGAATTTCCTCTTTGATGGGCACTGAAAAATGAATTCTCCTTTCATGGTGCCTTACTATGAGAACAGGTATGAGAAATAATTCTGAATATTTGTCTTTACATCCCCACTCCAAGAATAATAGCTGCAAATTGCTGGCAGTAACTATCATCAGCACATCTGTTTAAATATACCAATTTTAACCAAGACTGTTAGAGATTTCCAATAAAATATTATTGAACTACCTGAATTGGGCATGCAGAATTACAGATACATTAAGGCAAGGCATTTCTACTGAACTGACCAATGGTGGGAAAGAAGCAGCCATTTTGTTCCACTGAAAAAGATAAGACTTGGGATACAGAGAAGTCTCACATAGTCATTGGGGTTAGTGGAAAAAGGAGAAGAACATATTCTCAGTACCACAAATAGCATTCTGCAATAGGTCCAGTTAATCTTGGGAAGTGCACCGTCCGGGTCCAGAAATAAATCTTATTGAATTTGGCTGTTTCAGAGTGGCTGGCTTAGATTAACAGTGTGCTTATACATGAAATATATAAATGTATGCATATCACAAATTCAATGGAAACATACAATGAGTTATATACTCCAAAGGTCAGATTCAAGAAAAATGCAAGAGTAAAAACTTAACTCCAAGAATGTTCAAATAAACGGAAAGATCCATAGAAATTACACTTCAAATAACAGCTGAAACATTTCATTTAATACTAATAATCTTGGGATTTTTTTTTCATTTATCTTAAGCTAATTTTCTATGTACCAAAACATTATATATGGAACTATCTCTCTTTGTATGCTATTCTAGGGCCACGGACTCAGAAATTCTATGTCATATAGGACAGCTACAACCATTTTGCATGTCTTATTAATTTTGCTTACTCAATCTGAATTTATAACTGAGATCTTAAAATATATTATTTTCTGCCCAGGTATAATGATTTCTTCTGACAGAAAACAGGTCAATGATTGCCCAACTTTCTGATAATTTTTTTCAATGCTAACATCATAAAATGGATGCTATTCAAAAAATGAGTAGAAAGGGATACCATCCCCTGTTTGTGTTTGGGTGTACATGTGTACATGTGTGCACACATTTTTTTGCATGTTCTTGTGTATGTGCATACATATATAGACTTCTTAATGAAGAACAGGACCAGTTATATCAGTGCGTAAAGGCATGGAATTTAGAAGGTGATTTGCCAGTGAAAAATTAGTGAGACTATCATTAGCTGACCTTTATATTTGTAACTTACCTTTACTCCATCAGGTTTCTTCAATAAACTCTTGGCTGCTATAAATCAGAAGGAAACAAATAGTGTCAGTTGACTAATTTAACAAGAAAAGTATGAAAAATATTTTTCTTTCTTTTTGTGAATTCCATTTATCATTATTTGTCATTTCATTGTTTTACCATCTCTTAGCAAAGCATTTCCACATAATGTGATATTTTTCTTAAGCAAACAACAATTATGAGTCAACCAAAACTTTTGGGAAAATATGGAGGGTGGATTCGGTTTCTACCAGTTAACACAATCATTTTACATTAGATTTTATCAAGCATCTAGTACAATCCCCTTGGGTTGCTGGTAAAAGAAAACAAATATAATGTAATATGCAGCTCTTACTCAGAACTGTCACCATCTTGATATGTAAAGTACACAAAAAGGAGAAACAGACAAAGGTGGAGAAAAGTATAGGTCATAATTTTATATGACCTTACATTGTTGATTTAAAAACTTTTCTTACTGTAAATCCTTCCTTCTATCTATAAAAATATTGGGTTATTATTATGTTACAAGGTACCATATATGATAAAATATATTAAAATGTGGAAATAAATTTCTTATACATGAGTGATAGAACAAACCTAGTCATAGATAAGAAATTCCTGAAGTTTTCCAAGTGAAGAACTGAGGTACAAAGCATTTATTGTCTCTCATAGTTTTGCTTTAAATTACCCCAGATGAAACTCAATGGAAGAGAATTAAACGAGGCCAGCCCTTCCCACTTGGATCAGAAGAAAATGAAGGGGATTGATCAAATTAAGATTTTTTTACAAACTCATTTCTTTCCCCTCTCATTCCTACCTAATGGTTTGGGGAAGATTCCAAGGTCTTGTGATTTAGGAATTCTCAGCAGCAGAGACAAAAAGAAGAAGATGGGAAGAAGTATCAAATTATGTCAAGCTTGAACTAATCAAGGAGAGAAGCAACTTAGAACTAAGGAGACAGTTAGAACAATCAATCAGTGGAACAATTTGCCTCCAGAAGTTGTAAATGCCCCAACACTGGAAGTTTTGAAGAAGAGGTTGGATAGCCATTTGTCTGAAGTGCTATAGGGTTTGGACTAGAAGATCTCCAAAATCCCTTCTAAATCTATTCTATATTTTGTCCTACAAAGGACAAATTCTATATTTTCTGCTACAAAGCAGAAAGAATCAAAGAAGATAAAATGGTAGATGTTAACCCTTATGATCCTTTGACATGTCCTTGGATTTTTTTTTAAAGGTAAAAGTTGTACACTTAAGAATAATGAATGTATTTGATAAGCTTTTATAAAATGACCTAGCTGTTTTTTTTGTTTTGTTTTTTTCCAAGAGAAAATATATGCCTTACTCTTCCTTGTCACCTTATATGAGAATAAGATTAAAAGATATATGGAAAATTAATATTAAGAAGATAACTAAAATATTGTTACACTAAAATTTACACTTTAGATATCATCATTGCTACATAAATATATAGCAATCATTTTACTTGTCATATGAAATAGGTAACTTTTGAAATTATAAATGGATTTGGGGCTGGATATTTAACAAACCATTTTGAGCAAATAGGTTTCTAAATTATATCATACAGTACTACCAAACAGAAATGCAATTATTTTAATAAGAGCAAAGCATTTTCTGTGGCACTCTTATCTTCTGCTCTGAACAGAAACACTTTATGGATAGAAATTCTGTTTTCATGATGGCTGAAGAAAAACATACAAGATTGTATCTGCATAAACAATTTGAAAACTGACTTTGCACTCTCCAAAATCTTCCTTCTGTGACAAAATAATTATGCTGTTTTTATAAGTGGTAATTTAGACTCAAAATATTTAAATTGAAGGAGTACAAAAGTCTGCCCAGCAACAATTAGATGCCTATTGCAGGTTCCAGCAAAAATGTATTTGTTAGCATTGTTTAATTTTGCTTTCTCCATTGCAAAGTCTACTTTATGGGACAAATTGCATTGAAGTGGAAGCAAGCTCCCTTCTCTATTGTATTGTAGGAACACTAATTATATTTCTTTACTGAAATAAAATTGTTCAGATTTTTAAAAATTGAGTATTGATAAGTTTTAATATTTTCATGTTTTTGTTTTTGTCTTTTGTGTTTCTTATCTAAGACATTTTATTATTGGGTTTTTAAAATTAACTTAATTTTAAAATTAAACAGATGTTTCACACATTTCAGTTTTTAAATATGCCTAATCACTCTAGGGATTGGGGAAAAACTATCTGGCACTGAGTTCATTTTTCTTAATTAAAAGACTATTACATTGAAAGCCCTATTGATTGGTAAGCAGTCCAACCCAAAGAAGGAAAATGAGGCTGAAAGTAGAAGTTATGGGAGCCATGTCAAACAGTGCCCCGAAGCTTCCTCAGCCTGCCTCCTCAATGATATTTAGGATTTTGAAACATGTCATCCTGCTATGAATTTCCATGGTCCCCTAAGCACTAGACAATTTAATGGAGGGTATATTCAACATGATATTATGATGTACCTCCTGTAAGATTTTGTTCTGTTCTAAAGCAGCATGCAAAAGGCAACAACATCACATAAGTTAGAGGAAGCATTTCTTAGGAGTTTCAGCTTTTTAGCAGCTTACCTCACAAGAAACAAATATTCCACAAATATTTGGCTCTTGATTAAGAACCAAAAGAAAGTAAAATATGTTTATAAATACATTGAAATGCACAAAAATTACCAAAAGAAAAAAAAGGAAGAGGAGCATATTGTACACAACAATTCTATTGAGAGTTAAGCAAAAAAACGTATTTCCCAAAAGTTTCATATTGCAACATAATATGAAACATACAACCACCTTGGAACAGCTATTCAGGAATCATTACAAAATTGTTCTGTGTCCAATATACATTCCTGATATATTAAGAAGGAATGAAAGATCAGAGTTTTCTTTGGCCATCCAAACAGGCAACTGAATGGCAAGTTTAAATTCCTCCTGCGAAATTATTAAATTTAAAGCAACAAGGGAACTTGAAGAACATTAAGTTCTGCTCATGCTTTCCCTACTTTTATAAGAAAGTTATAACATTTCTTGGCAAGCTATACCATCCCTGAACAGCAGAGGATAAATTTTGCACGACGAAAAACTTTCTGCGTCTTGACAGCCAGTAGACTGAGTCGAAAACTGGGAGGTTCCAATAGAGGGGTGTCACCAAAAAAAGATGACAGGATCAGTCTCCAGGCAGAAGACAACAGCAACATCCAATCCTGGCTGCTCCTTCCTATCACTATGGAGAATGCTTAGTTTCTATTATTAAGGAATATATTTAAATATTAAAATTTAGGAGTTTTGTACATTCTTAATTTTTCTTGGTTCTGTAACTTTTGTGAATAGAAAAAATCCATAGATTATAACCATGAGGATCCTCTAGATATGAAGGGCCAATCCTCTCTCCAAATTCTCTGATACCACTGTCAAACTTGCATCATCACAGCAGCATCACATGACGTATCACGACTTTTTCCCCTTTCGCTAAACCGAGCATGGGCATGGTCAGTACGTCACACATCTGGCCTGTGCGACACAAGTTTGACAGCCCTGATTTAGGGTGAGAAAAGCGTTAAAGACAAAATTGAATGGTGGAAATGCCATCAAAGTTATCAATACTCGGGCTATACTATTATACAAAACACCCCTGGAATTATTAACTAGACACAAACTGAACCGGGTATTTTGAACTGAAAAACAAGAAAGCTAATGACTATTCACTATGCACAACATCCCATATTGATATTGAAAGATTATACCTGCCCCACAGAAATTGAGGTAGATGTTTACTAAAACAATCAGTCAAAGAAGAAAAGCAAACTTTGGCTGATTAGATGTAAGACAGCCAAAAACAAGCATTGATGCCAGCTAAAAATTGGAACTTACTGAATGTGCAGGAAACAAAACATGAATATTGAAATAATGCAATAAAACAAGAAAAGAATGCTGGCAAGAAAAAGAATTACAGGATAAATTTCTACAAAAGATCAAGGGGATGGTGGATAAAGATAAAACTTGGCAATGGCTTACAACTGGAACATTAAAAAAGGTATCTGGAAGCTTAATTTTGGCTGCTCAATAGCAAGCCATTTAACGTAATATAATCAAAGCCAGAATTGAAAAATTGTCAAATGATTAAAAGTACAGATTGTGCAAAAGAGGCAGAAGAAGCTTGTGCAAGAAGATTCCATTAATTGTTTAAAAACAATGTATAACATGGTTGCCAAAATGATTCATTCATTGAAAATTGATGTTGAAAAAGTAGTTGAAAATGAGCAAGTTAAAATACTTTGGTATTTCTGAATACAAACTGATGAAACTCTTAGTTCATCACAAACAGGTTCAACTGTAGTTGAAAAGAACGAAGTGTGAATAATTGATGTGGCAATACTAGGGAATAGTGGAATAGACAAAGAATTGGAGAAGATCACCAATATCAAGATCTGAAAATCAAAGTTGAAAGATTATGGCATAAACAGGCTGTGGTGGATCCAGTTGTTATTGGCACTCTAGGCACCATACCAAACAATCGTGATGGCACTTAGAAAATCTGTGCATTAACAAATTGACCACTTGTTTGAGTCTGCACATATGCTACGCTGATACAACATCTAGGACAGGAGTGTCAAACTCGTGTTGTCACGGCATCGTCACGTGATATATCATGACTTTTTCCCCTTTCGCTAAACCATGTGTGGGCGTGACCAGCATGTGACGCATCCAGCCTGCAGGCTTTGAGTTTGACACCCCTGATCAATGATCTTGGGAAGAACTCAATGTATATGAAGGCCAACACCAGATAAAGAACTGTTAGCTATGATTTCACACTGTTGTCTGTAACACCATCAAACAAAACATCTGCTTATCCAAGGGCCTTGGAAACAAAAATGCCAAATCCAGTCTGAACATGTGGCTGACTGTGCACCAAACCATAAAAATAATACTACACGCCCTTGGAAAGGACTTGATAGGTGGACAAAAATGTGAAATCCCGGTTTTTTTGGTTAACTGTGAGACCAACCATAATACAAAATAACAAAGATAAAAGACTATGGCAAAAGAAAGCAAAGATAATACCAAGAATAATAGGTCCCTTGGGTATAATTCCAAACAATCTGTAGCATCACTTGAACATCATTCACATTGACAAAATTGCCATAAGTCAATTGCAAAAGGCAGCCAGATGTTTGAAACAGTTTATATTCTGAGACAATATCTTTAACATTATAAAACAATGATGTCTGCCTATATCAGGTATTTGATAGGTAAGGCAAAAATGCCAACTCCAATCTAACCATCTGGCTGACTATGTGACTTACTGTAATAATAAAATTACTTATTACAATTTTTGCTAATCTAGTGTCAGTTCTCATGCTAGCTGGAAAAGTCTTATCTAGAACAATACAGGTAAACTTAGATATCGGAAGCATTTTACGGTTTCAACCAGAGACCTTCTGTTCAAATTATATTTTGGCATAATGAAGAGATTATGAAAGAAATTCGATATACGCTCAGCATAGGAATCTAGCAGCCAACTACCATACATTTTGAACAAGCAGTTTTTCATCACATACTGCATATGGCAAGGATGTAATCTAATACAGAAGGAGGACTGTCTGAATACTGAAGAAAAATCCTTCATATCATGTACCCAACTATTTTTCCAGACACATTTAAAAGGAAAATTTAACCCAACAATTGACAGAAACAGTTAATACAGAGGCATAGAAGTGAACTGCACATACCTGAGAAATTTCTTGTAGCCAACATTGTTGTTAAAATGGCTCCCTGAAAATCCAACATAATGCCAATATTTTAGAAGATAAAACCGTATGATTTGTAATATCAAAATACAATATTGAATCCTAAACCTAGTCCTCTTAATATATAGTATTTATAAATAGTGATATAAAACATACTAAACTGTATACTTTTCTTCCTATGTTTGTTGAGGTTTTGCTTTCAAATATGGTTAAGAGTGTGTGTCAGTTGTAGTCCCTATTAAAAACATAAACTGACAATACTTGGTATTTTTTTGGGGGAAAAGCACTACACTGTCATATTAAAAAGGGAGGCCTGCTTATATTTATTTCAATTTCACACATGCATGCAAATTTCCCTCCACCCTTCCAATGTACAATGTGTGTTTATACACATACATACAGCCCCACAGAGAAGATTGAGGAAAAGGAATATTAAAAGAAAAATTTCTCCAGGGCTCAAAATAAGTGAAGTTTCAGACAATCAGTATCTGCAACATTATTTTCAGTATTTGAAAATGCTGTACTCCCAGACATAGAGAGCTACGATTTACACATACAAATTGGGAAACTGGCTTTATTTTATTAGTCTGAGTATTAAAACAAAGGACTACTGGCAAATTCTGCAACAAGATAATACAAAATCTGCACAAACAAGAAGAATAAAAGCCATCATACATGTAAACTGGATACTTCTGCATATAAAATTAACTACTGTGGATTAATTAGAATATATTTTTGGAAATGCTATGAACAATAAATAAAGGAAATAAAAGGATCTATAAAAATTGCCTTCTTACCTTGAGTTTCCTTCTTGCATTGAACTTCTTCAAACAATCTACGGTCTCCTGTCTGTGCATCATAGAAGCAACAGTAGAGCGTTGCTGAAAGACAAGAAGAGAGTATATGTTTCAATGCATGCAGCTTTATCTACACTGTTATTTAATATAACTCTTTTTTGGGGGGATGGGGGTGGGAGATGCATCCAGAAGTCGGTGACAATTCTAGAGTCCCCAGTCAGAATAACAGTTCTCCTTCCCACCATTAAAGTTCAATTTAATTTGTGTTGCCGCTAAATATTAGATTACCAATAGGGACTTTCTGATCTCTGAACTCTTTTTCTCTTTAATTATCGTCCCATATATTATTTAGCTCCTGCTTTTATATCTTCTGCTTTGTAGGGTTGATTTAGTTGCTTAATTAAAAGTACAGGTAGGCCTCATTTAGTGGCCACAATTGGACCTGGCAACTTGGTCGTTAGGTGAAGCAGTCACTAAGTGAAAATTAAACAATACTTACAAGCTCAGCTTTCCTTTGCTTTATAGATATGTCTAGATTGTAAATATGTTTGATCATAACTATATTTTAATCACTGTTGTAATTATGAATGGGCATTAAATGAGGCTGTTGCTAAATGAGGATTAGCTATAGCTGTTATCTTACATGACCCTTTAAGAGAAACCTCATATATTGGCACTACAAAACACCAATTCTCTGGAGAAGAAAGGAAAATATCGTTAACAGAATAAAAGAGTTGGGCGGGACCTTGGCGGTCTTTTAGTCCAATTCCTTGCTCAAACATGAAATCCTAAACCAGAGGTGGGTTCCTCCCTATTCGAACCGGTTCGGCCGAATACGTAGTAACTCAGGTGGACATGTGACCGTACCGTTCTATCCTGGATGCCGCCATCTTTATTTTCTTTTCTGCACATGTGCAGAACAATCTTCATTGAAAAAATGTATTTTTCCCCTTTTTTAATGGTGTGCACATGCGCAGATCCTTTTAAGTGCAAATGTGCACACATGCAGTGTGTGTGTCTGGCGTGCGCGTGAGTGAAGCGAGCGTAAAATTTTCCGGGCACCAAACTGGTAGTAATGCCGGCAGGAACCCACCCCTGTCTTAAACCAATTCAGACAAATCTTTGTCCAATCACTTCTACCACTGTGGTATAAATTCTATGTGTCTGAGGGTAAATTACAATTCTGAGATCAGATTTTATAGAAGGAAATCAATACGCTACAAAATAGTAACATGGATTAAGAGAATGTGGATGTGTAACCAAATACCTAACCTTACATTTTGACCCCAGCCACATGACATCTGGGCAAAACACAATTAATGAAGTAAATATTGCTTACACAGATCCATGGGTGTTTGAGGGCCTCCGTTGCATTGATGCGTTTGGCAGGATTGATTGTAAGCATTTTGTTGATAAGATCTTTTGCTTCTGGGGTCACCGTATCCCATTCTGGGGAAGGAAACTTGAAAAACATGTAGTCATGTAAAATCAAACGGTTTTTGATAAAACATCAAGTAAATAAATATGTCTTTTAGCCACCTTGCCACATTTTAATAAAATAAAATATATAATAAGAATCATGTCACACTGAACTAGAGCTGCGGCTTTTTGGGGGGGATTTTTACTCCTTGAAAACAAAGCAAGGATTGTTTTGCTTCTTTCTTAGGCAATAAATCATTTTGTACAGACTTTGAGGTTGTCTTAACGTGGGTTGGTGGATGATGAGACTTTCCTCCCTCTCTCCAAAATGGCAATCTTCCCTCTCTTCCCATGAACTTATAAGTAGTATTTGTACAGCTATTTCCTCCAATCACTTCACTTCAAATTCTTACCATTCTCACAAATTGAGCAATTGAAAACAAAGTGAATGTTATAGCACAGCACTAATGAAAACAAACAAGTTAATTAGTATTGAACTGAGGCACAGAAAACCTGAGTCAAGAGTAGACTAGATAAAAGAAAACTCAATTGTATGAGATATGAAGAGAGGGAATAGCTGTAATAGGTTCAGATAACCTTCTGAATAATTGGGAAAGATAATCTACTCTTGAATTGACCACTGCATGCCACTGATTCTTGCCTGTTGATTATGGAAAGCCTTCACGTACATTTCAGCATGGCTGAAGCCTATAAGACTGGTTGTCCTTCTGAAAGCAGGCTATTATTTTATGAAAAGCAATTTGTATGATGGACTCCTCTGATAATCATGCTGCAGAAGTGACGTCTGTCTATTTGGAAATACATTCCAACAGGCATCAATGCTTAAAAGGCAGGGTGGGAGGAAAACCCATCATTTTAAAAAAATGATTCTTGTGGCTGAAATTGACGGACTTGAAAATTATGAGCAGTGAGAAAATAGGATGGAAACCTTTTGGGGGTGGCACCAGTTCTTCATGGCTCATTTCACATTTTTCTGCCCCAGATCTACATACACAAACTTGTAACAAAATCAAGAAAGATTATAGGTGTGGGAATCTGTAACAAACTGTGGTCAGTGAGTGATGTGTCAGGGATGGGCACAATATGGTGGCAGAAAAACTATACTGAGAATATTTATTTACATCAGCATCACTAGGTACCTTTTGGACTACACCTCCCATTAACTGTGGTTGGCATGATGAAAGCTGCAGTCTAACAGAACTGGAAAACTTTGGATCAAAAAAATAGAATCCTCAAACTGGAAGGGTTAATTTAGACCACCTAATTTTATGCTCAAGGAATCCAAGTAAATGCTTCATGAACAGATGGCTGTCTTGCTTTTATCTCAAAGGGAAAATGGGAAATATATGGATAACTAGAACTCTGGAAGGTTGGTTTTAAGATGTATGAGATCATTTAGCTTAACCAGGGTCCTATGTACTTCAGCATGTTGTGTTACAAAGTAGTAAACAATCTCCATTCGGGCAACCCACAAGTGGTACAGGAGAGTAGCTAGACCTCCATGCTCACTCTTTAGTAATTAATATTTAAGGCTTGCTTAAATATTAATGGAAGATTAATTAATTTGTCTAATCCTTTTTTTAAAAAAATGTGGCTACTTCTCTTTTTGTGTGGTGTGTGTGTGGTTGTGTGTTTGTGTTCCAAATAGCATCCTCCATAAAATAAAAGTCCGAGGCTTGAAGTTCCTCCAAGTTTCAATTTATTAGAAGAGCCATGTTGGCACATCTGGGAAACCCCAAATCTGAGAGCTTCCAGGATTTCCAGTTGAAAGTTCAAGCCCTTGCCCCAGCGCCACATCATATGGTCCAATCAGTCACCATCCCACAGGGAGATTCCTCCCAGCAGGTGTCAAGGCAAATGACCTTGACTTTCTGAAGAAAAAAATTATTTTGACTACACAACTCTCATGCCCCATACAATCCCACCTTCCAGTTTCTCACAGTAGAATATGTTGCAGGCTTGAGGCCCTGTAAAAAATGGTGTGTTTGTGTGTGTGTGTGCATATGCGTGCGCACCTTTGAAACAGTGTTGAGTCCTGGACACTGCCTGGATAAGTTACTCCAGAATTCTGAAGAAGTGACTTGCTACTGTCTTCTTCTTATGCCTGAAAGTGACTGATATAAGGTCAGCCAGCTATCTTTCTAGAACTCATCAATGAATCAATTATTGTGTCTCTTGAAAGCACGTACTGTAAATACTCAAGACTGCACAATTACTTGAATATTCACTAATACTGTGTCATACTACATATAAAATTCTACAACGGAAAAAAAAAAATCATCAGAACAATTTCAGAGGTTGGGAGGAAAGTAAGAGAATGCCAGAATCTCAACTACTTAATTGTGTTGTGTTTTTAGGGATAATAAATGATCAATGATAAAAACAGGGAGAAATTGAGGCATTACTTACATCATAGGCACCAGCTTTGATCTGTTGATAGAGTCTGTGTTGATCTTCATCCCAAAAGGGAGGGTATCCCACCAAGAGGATATAGAGTATAACACCTGCAAATGGTATTAAACTAATGAGTAAAAGTGGCACACATAAAGATGATACATGGGAAATACATAATAAGATCACGTAGCAGGTAAGGCAATGGACACTAATTTTAATCAGAGCAGCATGATGAGGAAAGATCAGGAGAATTTTCTTTCACTAAACCTTCTTTTTCTGAACACAGGGGCTCAAATACAGGTGTGCAGAAGATTTTCCTCCTTTCCTCTTATGGCTGAAAAAAGTGACTAGGCCACAATCACCAGTTGGCTAAGGTGGGACTAGAATTCACAGTCTCTTCACCACTACACCACACTGGTGGTTCTTTAATAACAGTCAGGGATAAACACAGAACAATAGAAACGGTAAGAGGAATTTCCATCCCTCATTTATAGTGGCTTAAGGCAAACTATCTTTGAATGATTTGAAAAACTTCTTCCAAGTTTCTTCCTATATAGCTTAAGTGTCAACCCTGCAGCTAGCCTGACTGAGGCCATTTTGAGACTGCAGTGCTGACACACTGGAGCAGAGGGATAGGGAGGGGGGGGAATAGAGATAGTTGGGGTGTTGTAGCTCTTGGGAACCAAGGACATTCCCACAGATGCTCGGAAGGAGGGGACTGGAGTCACCTTGCAACTAGACAACATCCTAATTGGACCATGTGACCAATTGTTTTGAGAAAGTGAAAAACTTTTACTTTAAACCTCTTGAATATTCAGAGTCGGTTTTCACCAGCCTGTGCCAATATGACATATCCAATAAACTTATTCTTTGAGGAATATACTTGCCCCAGAGTTTTGCTTGCTATGGGTATGTTACTTGGAACCCTGACATTAAATTGACTCTGACATTAAGTTGCTCTTTGGGCGATCAGCTGTCAGCTGATAGCCCTGCTCTCCCTTGATTATGTCTATTGCATTCTTTTCATAGCTTCTCTACAATCTCTCACGGGTTGCTAAAATGTTCACGGTGATAGAATATAGAAAATAATAGTAGAAAGCAAAATGGAAAAGAGGAAGCCTAATTATTAGATAGATAGATAGATAGATAGATAGATAGATAGATAGATAGATAGATAGATAGATAGATAGATAGATATAGATAGATAGATAGAGACTGTATATATGTGTATGTATGCATGTGCGTATACAAACACATACACAAACACACAGAAGGACAACACACTTGTCTGCTTTAAATAGGTTTGCACCAGTGGTGGGTTCCTACCGGTTTGAACCAGTACGGCTGAACCAGTACGGCTGCCTGGGTCGGTACAACCGGCAGCGACCCAGGCCTGCCAAGGCCCCAAACCGGTTCCCCGGTCAATGCCGTCAACGCCATCATCAACACCATCTTGTTTTTCAGTTCTGTGCATGCGCAGAACAATTTTAATTGCACTGTGCATGTGTGCACCAACCATGTGAAGCGCACACCTGAGCGAACCAGCCAGAACCCACCCCTGGTATGCACTTCCAAATCTCCATCTCCCCCCTCAAAAAAAAAATCATAACTGGCTTACCACAAGCCCACATGTCTACCGGCTTCCCATAGGGATCTTTTCGTAGCACCTCAGGGGAAAGGTATCCTGGTGTGCCAGCAAAGCCTGAAAAGTAAGTCTGCTTAGTGGAAATAGTAAGCTATTCAGAAGAAAACAAATATTAAAATCCCCTTTTAAGTATCTGCGTCTAGGCTACATTGTCACCATCTATTCTACCTTAGTCTGTCTCTCTGTCTGTCTCTCTGTCTGTCTGTTTGTGTATCTGTCTCTGTCTCTGTCTCTGTCTCTGTCTCTCTCTCTCTCTATCTATCTATCTATCTAT